AGGTTCTCTAAAGGGGCTGATGATGGCGTGTGAGATTAAAGTAAAACAGACTCTGTAGAAACATCACAGATTCAGCTGAGCTGTGATGAGACCTTCTTTTCTCTCAGACATCATACGGCCTCTCCTGCTCCTCCTGCTCCTGCTCCTCCTCCTCAGTCTTCTTGGTGAAAGCAGACGACAGCTCCTGCAGCAGCAGTTCCTGTGACGGCGTGCAGACCTGCAGCTGCTGCCTCCTCCTCGGCGCAGGCTGTCGGGGGGCGTTCAAGTCCGGAGAGCTGCAGTCCGCTTCGTCACCTCCTCCACTGCTACCGCCGCTCTGCTCCAGCGTTTCCACAGAGCCGCCGGCGCCGCCGACCGGGTCGGGGACGATCACGTGTTCCATGGCGACCAGTCTGAGCGGCAGGCGGTCCGGGACCTCGTGGGTCTCCTCGGCGCTGCTGGACAGGAAACTGGTCTCCAGAGATTTTAGGACCTGCAGGCCGAAGTCCCCGACCTCCTCGTAGAGCGGCTCCGGGAGGTCCGGAGACTCCGAGCGCTCCTCGAACGAGTCCTGCTGGACCTTCATGGGCTGCGGGGAACCGGGGACACCGGGTCAGTCAGGTCATTTTAAAAAGCGACAAAGTAAAAACACTAAATACTCACAAAGTACATGGAGAGAGTTCTTCTGTCGTGTAACTTCCTCTGCAGAGAGAAGAAAACAGCATGAAAACGTTTTTTATTATTAAAAGAACATAAAGCTGAGGAGGAGGAGGGGAAGGAGGAGGGGGAGGGATAGGGTGAGGAGGGAGAGGAGGAGGAGGAGGAGGAGGAGGGGGAGGAGGAGGAGGAGGAGGAAGAGGAGAGGGAGGGAGAGGAGGAAGAGGAGGAGGGGGAGGGATAGGGTGAGGAGGGAGAGGAGGAGGAGGGGGAGGAGGAGGAGGAGGAGGGGAAGGAGGAGGAAGAGGAGAGGGAGGGAGAGGAGGAAGAGGAGGAGGGGGAGGGATAGGGTGAGGAGGGAGAGGAGGAGGAGGGATAGGGGGGGGGAGGAGGAGGGAGAGAAGGAGGAGGGAGAGGAGGAGGAGGAGGGAGGGGAGGGAGGAGAGGAGGGGGGAGGAGGAGGGAGAGGGAGAGGTGGGGGATGGATAGGAATAGGAGGATGAGGAGGAGGAGGTGAAGGAGGAAGGAGGAAGGAGGAAGAGGAGGAGGAGGAAGAGGAAGAGGAGGAAGAGGAGGAGGAGGAGGAGGAGAGGAGGAGGGAGGGAGGAGAGGAGGGAGAGGAGGAGGAGGGAGAGGAGGAGGAGGGGGAGGAGGAGGGAGAGGAGGAGGAGGGGGAGGAGGAGGGAGAGGAGGAGGGAGAGGAGGGGGAGGAGGGAGAGGAGGGAGAGGAGGGGGAGGAGGAGGAGGAGGAGGAGGGGGAGGAGGAGGGAGAGGAGGGGGAGGAGGGAGAGGAGGGAGAGGAGGGGAGGAGGAGGGAGAGGAGGGGAGGGAGTAAAACCAAAAACGAGTCTGAAATCTGAAAACACAGTTTGTCTTCAGCTTCATGAGAAACGAGTCCTGAATGAAAAGTCCTGGATTTAGCGGGAACAGGTCAAACTATCTCTTCTGATCTGGAGTTTTGGTTTTTCCTGTTTTATTGTGTTAAATTCGTGTTTAAATTTGTTTTATTTTTGTCAGCAGCTCGTCTTTGATTAGATTTCTCCACAGGAAGTCATCATCACGCATCACAGCCTGACCAGCGTCTGATTGGCCGACAGCATGCTGCTGTTGCTCTCGTCTCCTCTGATGGGGACGAGCGGCATCGTGCCGAACTTCTGCTTGGAGATATCTGACGAGGAGTGGCGCCTCAGCACCGGAGGGCCCGGGTCGTCGTTCTGCAAAAAGGAGCACAGAAAGAGGCGAGAGTCAGCGGGAGGCGTCCTGCGGAGACACGCTGATCCCGGATCAGCGGGACGAGCCTCCGTCTCACCTGAGCTTTGAGGAAGCCGGTGATCCAGTCCCACAGCTCGGCCTCACAGCTGCAGCACAGAAACCTGAGAGACACGCGGACGACAATCAAAGTTAGACCGACTTTTAAAAAACGCCGCCATGTTTGTAGTTCTTCTCTAAGTGAAAAAACTTCAATGGCACCAAAGTTCCCAAAGATCTAAACTTAACAGAAGTTTTGTTCTTTATTTCACTGTAGGATCAACCGGCGACCAGCTGCTCCGTCTGCCTTCATTAATATCATATAGAATATTTAAAAATATACAATAGAGCTTCTGAGGGTTTCAACAGGCTGCTCCGAGGAGTTTATGTAGAAAAACTAGGGCTGTCAAATGATTAAATTTTTAATCAAATTAATCAGAATTTTCAGTGGATTAATCAGGATTAATCACTATTTGCAACTACACCTGAATCCTAACCATTTTTTTTTCTGAAATGCATACCAAAAGATAAATAAAAAGACACAGATACATAATTTTCATATTATGTCTGTTTATTAACACAGCCAAATAATGGTGGTTTAAATCAAGCTGAAACATACTACCCCCCATAATATTTGGATGAGTCTTGAGACGCCACTTGCAAAACATCAATGAAACCTGAGTCTTCTACAATACTAACGGGTCTACAATCCTTTGCAATCCATTTTGCTATTTTGTTGGTCAAATTATCTGGGTCGAAAATTCAGCGTGGTCTGGCGCGAACCACTTGCTGAACATGACGACCCAGCAAACGCATGTTTGGCGTTGACATGGTACCTCAAGCTTGAACAGCTCCGGTGAAATTGAAACTCCTTGTTACAAATCTTGCAAATAACCTTGTACTTGTTAACTGTACCATCATCATTCTTTTTATATTTGAATCCGTCAATAGGCCCACTTTGCTCACCTTGCTCCATCTCGCCTCTCGCTCCCGTCCCAACCACTTTCCTGACCTGAATAATTTGTCACACTGCGCATGAGTGAAATGCGTTAAAAAAATTTACGTAATTAACGACAAACAACGAATTAACGTCGTTAACGCGCTATTTTTGAGAGCCCTAAGAAAAACAGAAACTTTCCTTCCACTGCTGCACAAGAACCTGAACTCATTTCTCAGTTTTTCTAAAGTCTTCTAAACTACAAACTAGAGTAACGCCTGGAGCAGCCTGCTGACATGTGGTTTAAACAGTGGAACTCAAGGATCAGGAACTTTACAGATCAGAGGGTTCATTAAGGAGAACTTACAGCTGGTGTTTGTCTGACATCACTGTGAATCCCCACCTGCAGGAGGAGACAAACACACATTCACTACAGGTCATACAGGTGAGCTCATCAGATGACCTCTGACCTGTGGACCTTCCTGTCCTCAGGTCAGAGGTCAGTCTGTTTCCATCTTCCCGCTGATTGTTAGCGTGAGCTGCTCCAGTTCTTAGTTGGTTGGTTGATGGTGCAGAGCGGGTCCGTCAGCACCAAACACCACCAGCTAACTACATCCTGTTCTCGCCGTAAAGACGTTCTTCTTCAACGAATCATCCTTAATACAAATTAACCTTAATCAACGTTTGAAACATTTCATATTTAACGATAATCAGAAGGCCTCTCGTGCCGCTTCACTCTGAGCCGCTTCATCGGGCCGCTGTGATGTCACAGTGTACCTGTATTCAGGGATCCAATCGGTGAAGATGCTGGAGCCCATATTGTTTCTGACCTTAGTGTTCTTTCTGTTTTTCTCCACTTAAACTCACCAAATTTCACCCGCTGCTCGATCAGTGATAAAAATCTCTCTAAGTCTAAGATGTGATGTCATTGGGTGGAGATGGAGCAGTGGACCAGACGCATGCCTTTGGGTTCAATTCCCGACTGTGACACGTCCACTAATGTGTCGCTGATCAAGACACTCCAAAAGGCGTGCGACCTCTGAGCAACGGTAAGTCACTCTGGATAAAAGCGTCATTATTTCCTCGACTAGTGAGAAAGTGAAGCACGAGCAGCGCTCACCAGTGGCTCAGTCACCAAGTCACCTGCTCTCGTGCTCTGAAGGTTCAGGGTTCAAATTTATCTGTGTGGTGTGTTTTCCATTACTCACTGAGTCAAAGTTTTCCTGTTCTACTTAGATCCTGTGAAAGTTCTTCCACCCGCTGCTCATTTAACGACACTCTGACCTCAAAATCAAGTTTCTGTTTCTGCAGCTACAACAAAAAAGACTTTGAGTCCAGATTGTTCCATCACTTTCATCTCTTCGCCTGCATCTGCTCTTCTCTGGAAACGCCGCATTTGTCGCGACCTGCTTGGAACAGTCAGTATTAAGAATCAGCTGATTCCTGACAGACACACTTGAAGCTCTGCAGTGTGAGTTTCTTCCTGTGCTCTGATTCTACCGGTGAAACACAAACTGCTCATCTTGTTGATTAAACTATCATCAGATCTCCAATAAGCAGAACCTGCTGAACGTCTTTCATATATTTTAAGCTTCGTGTAAAGGGCCGAGACTCGTCTCCGTTACCTGGTCGGAGCTTTCAGTTTCCTGCGGATGCCGATGTAGATCTTCATGGACTTCAGAGACCACTCCTTCTCCGGTTTGATGCTCTGAACAACAACAACACAGACCAGTCAGGAGACGGTGACCAGGGTTTACCGGCTCTCACAGGAACCCAGATCTCACTGAGCCCTCTTACCTTCTTGTCTTTGAGCAGCAGCAGTTTGTGGTCTTTGATCTGGAACGTTCTCTCCTGGAACTTGTTTCCCTGAAGAAGCTTCGGAGGTTCCTCACGACACCTCAGCAGACCGATCTTCATGATCTCGCTCTTATAGGCTGGACAGAGAGACAGAGTCAGTCACGTGGTCTCCTCTCTCTGAGCTACAAACTCGTTTCCCGTCTGCGTCTTTGACCACAGCTGCTCCCTGACTTCTGAATGCTTTGATACACCGATCAAACATTAAGACCGCCCGCAGGCCCCCCTTCTGTTGCCAACACAGCCCTGACCCGTCTCCATGGACTCCTCTGTGTGTTCTGACCCCTTTCTATCAGAACCAGCACCTTCTTCTTCTTCAGCTGTTGGATCGGACCACACGGGTACTGACCCCTGCAGAACGGGACCCCTAAACTGACACAAATCAGACCACGGACCCCCATTTCATAAGACTTTGTCACACACAGAAAGTGTGATCAAAATATTCAGACGTTCGCTGTGTTCTTTGCGTAACATTACCAGTAATAACATCACAACACAGCTTTACAGGCGGAAGGTCGCCGACCTCTGATGGCGCTTTTGGGACGGGAAACACGACCAGTGATGATTTATATATTCACTTTTAGAAATATCTACGCTGAGCTTCCTGCTCAAACTAACTGTGAGAGGAGGCAGCAGCTGTGTGTGCGAGTGGGACGTACAGGTGAGGATGTTGATGCCTTCTCCTCTAGGAACTCTCTTCACCACCAGGTAGGCTGAGCTCGGGTCGGCCATCTTGCACCACTGCAGGGCCTGCTCCAGGACCTTCTCTTTGGGGTGTAGCGGACGCTCTGACACAAGAAGAAGAAGAAGAAGAAGAAGAAAAAAAAAGGGTCAGGCAGGAGAGGGAAACCTCCCAGGCACCCTGAACTCGTCTGTCTCCAGGTGTCCAGGTGTAGTCTGGCTGTCTCACCCAGCTGTCCGTCCTCGATGGCCTCAAACGTCATCCAGACGTCTTTGTCTCCGGCCGGGACGTTCCTCATGAACAGAACCTGGTTGGTCAGCTCCTCAGCACACATGGTGGGAGACACCTGCAGGGGTCAAAGGTCACACAGACTGTCACACCTGATAATGTTGTAGTGGCTGTTCCTGTTGTCATGGATCCTGTAGTTCTCATCCCAACTCGCTTGGTCAAGACCCTTTAGCGCCGTTTTTCCACGTTTAGGGCTCCGTGGTCAAGTTAGCAACAATAAATATTCAACATCTGGTTAGACTTTCAAAATAAAACTAGTGGTTAACTTGACGTTGTGAAACATCGCAATTTGGTTAAATTTAGGCACCGAAAGTCCTTCATGGTTCATGGTTTAAATAACTACGTTACTTACGTTACCTAAGGAACTTTTTGTTTCACACGGGAAACGAACTGTCACGATCCTGTCCTGACTTTCTCTGTGTTTATTCATTTATCAGTTTGGTATCTGTTACATAATATATGGTCTTGTATCCAGTCTTTGTGGTCTGAGTTGTTCCTTCCTTTAGCCACCCTGTCTTATGTGTTGGAATCCCTTTTGCTGTGCCGTTAGTTTAGACTTAGTTTTAGTTTGCTTGTTACCTTTAGTGTGCGTCCTCTACCTGACGTTATTGTCTCTCTGGTTATCATCTGTCAGCTGGTGTTTTGGTATTTTCCTGATTTCAGTTCTGTTCCAGTCTCACGTATTTTCTGTACCATCATGCTTGAGTTCTGCCTGCTTGTGTATTTATGTTCTCATTCATTAATCTGATTTTGTTCATTCTGCTCGAGTCTCTTTGGAGCCTTTATTATTCATCCACGTCTTACTTAGTATCTGTCTTGTCTCGTATCTTTGTCCTGTACCTTCGTTCATGTCTTTAGTGTTCACTCCTGGCCTGTGTACTTCTGTGTTTTGCCCATGTCTATCTCTTAGCTTCTGTCTGTGTTCCTTGTTGCTGTTAGTTTATTTGTGATCTGTCTGCTTGTATTAGTTTATTTATATTACTCTGATGTTTAGTGTTGAGTAACTGGTGTTTTGTCCCCCCCCCTTCAGTATCTACCTGCCTCGTTAGCCTCATGCTCCTCACCTGTGTTGCTCACGCCCTGCTCGTTAGTCCTTGTGTGTGTGTATATATACCTGGTGTTTCTGTTTAGTCTTTGTCCGGTCATTACCTGCCTCGCCTTTAGCTGCATTAAAATATCTCTGAACTGTACCAGTCCGCCTGCGTGTCTTGCGTTTGGGTCCTACAACCTGCTCGCCATGACAATTCCTGACACGAACCCCCGGTCTCCTGGATGAAAGTCCGGTTTCTGGCCCTCTGTCCAACCCAACCACCTCCTCAGTCGGACCTCTCTGTTAAACACCTCACACCTACCTTCAGCGTTCATACATGCCGCTACAAGGTTTCGCCAGTGCGTTATAAACTAACGCCAACGATTCATGTGTGACAAGCTGGGAGTGAGAACGTGTTGATGCATGCGTTTTAAAAAAAGACAAAAATAAAAATACACTTCCTGCTTCTCCCAGCATGCACTGCGTCACATCAGACACCCAACATCATGCGAGCAGCCTGAAGGCAGAAGCAGCTGCTCAGCCTGCAGACTCACCTTGAGAGTGACGCAGCAGTCGGGGATCTTCAGCTCCAGGTAGACCTCGATGATCAGATCTCCGGCCTGAGACAGCTGCACACAAGAGCCGCAGTCAGTACAAGCCGACGCCCCACAGTGCATCCTGGGACTTTGAGTTAATGACTGATAAGCAGCTGATCACATATTACTATGTGTATTAATGACATCATCACTGCACCTGAGTGTCCTTCCAGGTGGTGATGAGGCTGATCTCCAGCTCGATCTGAGTCTGATGCTCCTCGTCGATCTGAAACAGAAGCTCACTGAGTTTGTTCGGTTTGTACGACGCGTAGAAAAAGGAGCTGCGCTCGGAGCTGCACTCACGTCGAAGATGTGCAGGTAGTTGTCTATCAGATCCTCCACGATCTTCACCTCGTGCTCTCCTTTACCGTCCGTCTGGAACAGGCTGGGAGCGAACAGCAGAGACAGGTTCTTAGTGCACATCTGGTTCAGGTCTGCACACTTCTGGACCCTGAGGGAGACACAGGAAATGACATCATGTAACGAGATTTCAGTGACGTTCAGCAACAACCTCCTACTTACGACTGCTGCTGTCAGGCGAAGCAAACACGAAGTAGCATCACAGATACACGAGGGAGTCCCGCAATTAGCGAGACAGGAAACGATCTCATGTTGCAAATGAGATCGTTATCACTAACAGGTGTGTTAATGCGAGCTCACCTGTACAGGTGACTGATGAGAGCAGCCAGAGTGGTCCTGTTGACTCGAGGAAGACTCCGGATGATCTCTTTGTAGCGGTCCAGCCTCTGACTCTTCTGGGGGATTTCTGAAGATGAAACCGGGACAGAGATCTAAAACATACTGAACACCTGCTGGATATCTGGACTGAAGCTGACCTCTGGACCTGACCATAATGACCCGGACTGTAAAGTAAAGTGGACTCACTGGCGGCTTCCTGCCACAGCGGGTGGAGGTCGGCCATGAAGATGGGGTCGTCAATCTCTCTGAAGAACCTCTTCAGGACGTCCGTCACGTCCTCGATGAAATGGTCTCCGATCCGCAGTTTGACGTTTCGAGCGTCTTTACGGAACTCTTCCATCAGCAGCTTGATCCTGGATTTGGCCCCGTTCTTCCTGTAGATCCCCTCGTGGCCCAGACCTACAGAGCATGCTCAGAACGTCACTCAGGTACAAGGTGAGAAAGCTTTAATGCAGCTTCACACAGATAAACATTTGGGCTTTGGTTTTAAGATTTTTATGAACAAAGGAGCTGAGCTGAAGGACAGGATGCACCGGGACCACCTGCTGACGAGGGTCAGAGCTGATTCTGAAGCAACCACCTTAAATCTGTCGTTATATATCTGGATTTGATACCATTGACCATCTGGTCCTATTGCAGAGACTGGAACATTTCATTGGAACCGCTCTAAGCTGGTTTAAGTCCTATTTATCAGATCGATTTCAGTTTGTACATGTTAACGATGAGTCCTCCATGCATGCCATGCAAGTTAGTCATGGAGTCCCACAAGGATCTGTCCTCGGACCAATCCTCTTCACTTTATATATGCTTCCTTTAGGCAATATTATCAGGAAACATTCCATAAACTTTCATTGTTATGCAGATGATACTCAGTTATATCTATCGATCAAACCAGATGAAACTCATCAGTTAGCTAAACTTCAAATGTGCCTTCAGGATGTTAAAACCTGGATGACCTGTAATTTTCTAATTTTAAACTCAGATAAAACTGAAGTTATTGCTCTGGGGCCTAAGCACCTCCGTGACGCATTATCTAAAGATATAGTTTCCCTTGATGGCATCGCCCTGGCCTCCAGCACCACTGTGAGGAATCTTGGAGTTATCTTTGATCAGGACATGTCGTTTAAGTCTCACATTAAGCAAATTTCAAGGACTGCCTTTTTTCACCTACGTAATATTGCGAAAATCAGGAACATCCTGTCTAAAAATGATGCAGAAAAACTAGTCCATGCATTTGTTACTTCTAGGCTGGATTACTGCAATTCCTTATTATCAGGCTGCTCGAAAAAGTCCATTAAGACTCTTCAGCTGATCCAGAATGCTGCAGCACGTGTTCTGACAGGAACCAGGAAAAGAGATCACATTTCTCCTGTTTTAGCTTCTTTGCATTGGCTTCCAGTAAAATCCAGAATAGAATTTAAAATCATTCTTCTTACCTACAAAGCTCTTAATGGTCAGGCACCATCTTATCTTAAAGAGCTCATAGCACCTTACTACCCCACCAGAGCACTGTGCTCCCAGAATGCAGGGTTACTTGTGGTTCCTAGAGTCTCCAAAAGTAGACTAGGAGCCAGAGCGTTCAGCTATCAAGCTCCTCTCCTGTGGAACCAGGTTCCAGTTTGGGTTCAGGAGGCAGACACCATCTCCACATTTAAGAGTAGGCTTAAGACTTTCCTCTTTGATAAAGCTTATAGTTAGGGCTGGCTCAGGTTAGTCCTGAACCAGCCCTTAGTTATGCTGCTGTAGGTTCTTGGCACATTTTCCCTCCACCACCGCCCTCTTCCTCACCGTACTGGGTGATGAAGGCGATGCAGCTGTCCACGATGATGGGGATGTCGTTTCTGCTCAGCTGCTGCTCCCTCAGAGTGTTTCCTTTACCGCCGGCCGCTCGCTGGATGTCCGAGTACCACAGAGAGAAATCCATCCGGCCGACCCCCTGCAGGTGGAGAGTCCTGATGGAGAGAGGAAACGACGCGATGAAGGGAAACGGAAATGAAAGAGCAAATGAAGCGCCATCCAGCAGACACAGTCTTCCTCTCACCTGCCCTTCTCTACTAAAACCAGGATGTCTTTCTTCTCGTGGTTCTCGGTCTCGGAGGTGATACCTTCAACACAAACACAGAGCGTTTAATCAGTCGGACAGCGGGTCAGTCAGACACGGTGTATTTGTAGACCAGGACCAGGACTGACTGAGCTCCTGCAGACGGTTCAGGTTGATGATGTCCTCCGCTGCTCCGTCCTTTTGGGGACAGATGAAGAGGTTGGACTTCTGCAGGACAAAGTAGGCCTCCTTCCACTGCTGAGGGTCCAACATGGCTCGGTACCGCAGCAGGCCGACCCGCTCAAACTCCCGAGTCAGCAGGCAGTGACAGCTGAGGGGGGTCGCGGCCTGACAGGATCAAAATATAAAGAATCTTTAAAAGCACATTCACGACGTTCTGAAGGAAAAAAGTTTTCTGCACCTCAGCTGAACTACCTGTGACATCACTTCCTCTAAACACAGATGATAAAACAGAGAGGGGGTGGGACTGACCTCTGATTCAGGAAATGTAGTTTGTTTATATTCTTGTTTCATAGCTGCTGGTGTTGCAAGCAGCAGGAGAGATGCTGATTGGCTGCTGCTGTTAGCACAGGGACCACCGTACCTGTCAACCCTCCCATTTTTTCCCGGGATTCCTCCGTATTTTACCACTCTATCCCGTTGTCCTCCCGTTTTAATATTTACCTGTAAATCTCCTGTAACTTTAACCTTTCTAGATCCTGTGCGTATTTGACAGTATGGAGAACATTAGCTGTAACAGTCACAGGAAGTCAACTGCACCCGCCAATGAAACGAAAAGAAGAAGAGCAGCGCGAGGGGACCAGGATGGATGATGAGTATTTCACTCACATATTGCCCTAAAGATATACGTGTGAACCGGAAAAATTATTTACGATGTCCAAGTAAAGACTACAGCCTACAGTAATTCTTCTACATGAGTGGTTCTGATTATTTACAAGTTATTACTAAATTAGTTTTAATAAATTAGAGACCAAGACTGAGCTCCTTACACAAGGATTTAGTGAATAAAAACAACCCACAAAAATGAAACAGCTGTAACTGGAATTAATATCATATTATTATTATTATTATATATTACATTATAGTGTTAAAGGACATATGAAATTATAATGAATATAGTAACGATAAGTAGTAAATTCCCATTATACTATATGGCCTATACTATGAAATGACTTTGTATTTAATGTTAGAATAGAATATCTAAGAACATTTTTCAGTGTGCTGGGGGGGGTGAAATCCAGTCTGACTGCAGCCATTCTTTACTTCACTACTCTGCTTCTCCAGAGGAGACGTCACACTCTGTAACATCAAGACTCTTCAGTCCTCCTCCTGTAGTGGAGGTCTCGGGATGACGGGGGATTCCTCTGCGGCTTAAGGCCAAACTTCTGTGTTGCGTCTATGCATGCACCGTCATGAGCATTTAAACTTGTGGCTTGGTGTCTGCGTTGCTCTTCAATAATACCGCCAAAACACTAACTTGGACGGGGGTGAAATGATTTAATCATGTGGCTGTTTGACCGAATGGATCAAACTCTGATGGTGAAACATGTTGCAGGGTTGTGATGCTAAAAAAAAGTATCAGCCGCTGGTTTGGCTGCTAGTAAAATTGGCTTTAAAGCACGGAACACGTTCGTGGGGTCTCAGAGGAAATGTGATGCTACCAAGGAATCACCATCAGATTGAACTCTTTTACAACTCAGATGTCTTTTGAAGCTGATGATAATGAAGTGACGCAGTAACGTTCTGTATGACAGAAGCATTCACTTAAAATGAGCCCTCTTTGCAGCTCGTATCAGGAAATATTTCAGATGAAGAGTGTCGGAGTGTCAGACCTTCCCGATGGCTTTGGTCCAGCTGTGCAGAGCGTCGGCCGTCTCCAAACCAAACTGATAAAGTTTCTCTGAAGTCAAATACAACTCGAAGGTGTAACGAAACCTGAGAGGAGGACGGACAGAGAGGCAGAGCTTTACCTGGCGTTCAACCTTTCAACAACATCAGAGAGGACAGAGCGTTCAGGAGCTCACCTGTCGATGAAGCCGTTGTTGTTGTTGGAGGAGTCGGGTCGACTGATCCCCAAACACACGATGTCTTTAACGCTGATCTGCATGCAGGGATCAGCTGATCGATCCGACTCGTAGAAGAGCAGAGACCGATCCACCGAACACCAGAACTTCTGGAAGTCTGACGACAAGACGAGGAGACATTAGGTGTGGTTTGATTATAGAGGTTCCTCAGTTCCCTATGAATGACCTGGTTCTGTATCACCCCACCTTCTCGTGTCTTCCTGGACAGGGTTCCTCTGTGGACGGTGCTGGACTTGTAGAGGTAACCAGAGTGCAGGACGGGCTGCATGATCTCATCGTACACGCTGGGGTCTGACGGGGAACAGAAGAACCACAAAGACCGTTCCTTCAGGACGTTATAGACTTACATTCATTCCCTGGAGACTTCCATAACTCTGACTGCTGACCCACATACACAGATGGAAATCTTAAAACATAAATGTCAGCTGTCTTCTGACTGTGACGTGAAGTGGTTCTGGTTCTGACTCTGCGTGTGTGTCAGTAGAATAAAAGCCTGTGTCGGCCTGAGGTTCTCTGCTAACTGAAGCAAACTGTGTCAGGATAAAAGCCTCCCTGCAGGAACAGAGCTGATAACAGCGCCTCAGCTGACCTTCAGCACAGCTCAGGACCGTGCACGGCTTCAGAAAACATTACTGCTGTCGCCAAAATGAAAACAACCTCCAGCTCCTGCTACAGTACAGAGGGAGAGGTCAGACCTGATGCAGAGTACAGTAGAGATCAGCAGAGATCACTAGAGTACAGCAGAGTACAGCAGAGATCAGCAGAGATCAGTAGAGTACAGCAGAGTACAGCAGAGATCAGCAGAGTACAGCAGAGATCAGCAGAGATCAGTATAATACAGCAGAGATCAGCAGAGATCAGTAGAGTACAGCAGAGATCAGTATAATACAGCAGAGATCAGTAGAGTACAGCAGAGATCAGTAGAGTACAGCAGAGATCAGTAGAGATCAGCAGAGTACAGCAGAGTACAGCAGAGATCAGCAGAGATCAGTAGAGTACAGCAGAGTACAGCAGAGATCAGCAGAGATCAGTAGAGTACAGCAGAGTACAGCAGAGATCAGCAGAGTACAGCAGAGATCAGCAGAGATCAGTATAATACAGCAGAGATCAGTAGAGTACAGCAGAGTACAGCAGAGATCAGCAGAGATCAGTAGAGTACAGCAGAGTACAGCAGAGTACAGTAGAGTACAGCAGAGATCAGTATAATACAGCAGAGATCAGTAGAGTACAGCAGAGATCAGCAGAGTACAGTAGAGTACAGTAGAGATCAGTATAATACAGCAGAGATCAGTAGAGTACAGCAGAGATCAGCAGAGTACAGTAGAGTACAGCAGAGATCATTATAATACAGCAGAGATCAGCAGAGTACAGCAGAGATCAGCAGAGAACGCAGAGATCAGTAGAGTACAGCAGAGATCAGTAGAGTACAGCAGAGATCAGTAGAGTACAGCAGAGATCAGTATAATACAGCAGAGATCAGTAGAATACAGCAGAGATCAGCAGAGTACAGTAGAGATCAGCAGAGTACAGCAGAGATCAGCAGAGTACAGCAGAGATCAGTATAATACAGCAGAGATCAGCAGAGTACAGCAGAGATCAGTATAATACAGCAGAGATCAGCAGAGTACAGCAGAGATCAGTAGAGTACAGCAGAGATCAGTAGAGATCAGTAGAGATTAGTAGAGATCAGCAGAGTACAGTAGAGATCAGTAGAGTACAGTAGAGATCAGTAGAGTACAGCAGAGATCAGTAGAGTACAGCAGAGATCAGTAGAGTACAGTAGAGATCAGTAGAGACCAGTAGAGTACAGTAGAGTACAGCAGAGATCAGTAGAGTACAGTAGAGATCAGTAGAGATCAGTAGAGTACAGTAGAGATCAGTAGAGTACAGCAGAGATCAGCAGAGATCAGTAGAGTACAGTAGAGATCAGTATAATACAGCAGAGATCAGTAGAGTACAGCAGAGATCAGTAGAGATCAGTAGAGATCAGTAGAGATCAGTAGAATACAGTAGAGATCAGCAGAGATCAGTAGAGTACAGTAGAGATCAGTAGAGTACAGCAGAGATCAGTAGAGTACAGTAGAGATCAGTAGAGTACAGCAGAGATCAGTAGAGTGCAGCAGAGATCAGCAGAGATCAGTAGAGTACAGTAGAGATCAGTAGAGTACAGTAGAGATCAGTAGAGTGCAGCAGAGATCAGCAGAGATCAGTAGAGTGCAGCAGAGATCAGTAGAGTACAGTAGAGATCAGTAGAGTACAGCAGAGATCAGTAGAGATCAGTAGAGTACAGCAGAGATCAGTAGAGTGCAGCAGAGATCAGTATAATACAGTAGAGATCAGTAGAGTATAGCAGAGATCAGTAGAGTACAGTAGAGATCAGTATTATACAGCAGAGATCAGTAGAGTATAGCAGAGATCAGTAGAGTACAGTAGAGATCAGTAGAGTACAGCAGAGATCAGACCTGATATGGTGCAGTGAAGTTGTTGGCCGCCGTTGGCGAGGCGAGCTGACTCCGCCTCTGAGAAAATCTGAGTGACCGTTTTCAGAAGAGTCTGTTCAGAGACCGCCGAACACAAGACCTGTTAATGAGAGAGAGACATTAACTCACAGACAGAGAGAGAGGAAAATAAATCACTGGTGTAAGATAGTATTATTAAGTTATCATTAATGTTTGTTATGTTCATCATTGTTCCACGGCAGGAGATAGATTTAGTTTTTAGTCCTTTGTCTTGATGAAGCCGCGGAGCCAGCGAAGACACTCCGTTCTGCCTCAGAGCCGCTTTTACGGACTTATTACTCGCCGTTTACCTGAAGTCACCTGACAGAAACTTTGGTAACAGTCTGAAGAGGAGAGTAAAAGAAATACTTTTTACATGTAGGCACATGTGGTTTTTGGACATAAGTGAAAAGGAGCTTTTTGTACTTTTATTTTAGTGGTAACAACCGAATATTTAATTTTGTGGTCAGAAAATTGAATGAAAATAAAGAGTAGTGATTTAATTTGGAATGTACGGGAGCCCAAAGAGGCCATGCCTTCATGCATTTTATTTACTCCGTTTTCCCGTAATAACGAGTTCATTTAATTTGTTTTCTGAAGATCTTTGGAGAGTTATTTATGTCCTTATCTCGAAATAACAAATGTTGTTTCCATGAGGTAACGACATAATTAATTTGAGGAGTAAAACAAAACGATAGTCTAGTTTATTAAATGACTGCAGGAAACAACATTCAGTTTAGCAGTGTCAAGAGGAGCAGGAAATTATTGATCACTGCATCACAGTGATGGCTGAAACAGCTTTATGCAGATAATACACACATTAAGGAGGCGGTTAGCAAGGCTGCAGCTTTATCAGCAGCCTTTCACATTGAACTCATTACTGTTTTCTTGAGAACTGATTATGTCATTATTTCAGGAAAACAACATTTAAATGACAAATTAAATGAAGTCGTTATCACAGAAAAAAACTGAGTAAATAAAATGTATGAATGTATGAGCTCTTAGGGCTTCCGTAGGACTGTAATTAGGTGGTTGTTTAGTAAATTATTCATGTGTATTAAACTGTGAACTATTATCGCTGTTTTCAGTAGATATCTATATATCATGCTGCAAGGAAGCTTCTGAAACCCATCACATGTTTATCACACGTCTAACAGCTTCACGTGGTTCACACGATTGGTTCAGTATGTTGTCCTGGTGAGGATCAGCCTGGGTCCGGGATAAAGAACTAAGAGCGTCTGGTTTAAGGGCGGCTGTTTGGGCGTGGGTCAGACCTTCAGCAGCTCCTCCTGGCTGTTGAACGCTGGGTGGCTGAGGCGGTATCGTCCCTCTTTGTACTTCTGGGTGATGAACTCTCTTCTCTGCTCAGGCGAGGCGTCACAGTCCAGCTCCGCCGACGCAGACAGCCGAGCCCCCCAGAAGTCGTTGGCCCGGTCGTTCCCCAGCATGATGAACAGCTGACGCACACAAACAAACTAGTAAACAAACACAACAGCGCAGATCCGGGACTACAGAGCCCTGTTTCAGAAAGCAGGCTTAACAAACTCTGAGCTCATCCCTGAGCTCGGGGTTGACTGAGCCTGAGGTGGGAAACTCTGAGTTTTCAGTTCCAGAACAGCAGAACAGAATTCTCCTACAGCCCATTCGATTTTAAATAGGAAGGCTATTTTTATTAAGCTGGAACCCGACGGGACTAAATGCCGGTTGGCAATCGGCTGCCTGATTATGAAAATAGGTACAGGTCAAATATAAGACACAGTTTATCGTGAACCTGTGATTGTAAAGTCACACCCAGCAGGTTAGACTATTAGTTATTTTTTCAGCAGTGGAAAATGTGTCTATGTGTTCAAAGTGACTGTAAAGTTTCAGACGTCTATTTTACTTTAATAAAATCTTGCTCATTTCGTATTTTATTAATGCCGTCAGAACACATGATAACTACGAATGTTCCAATCCGTGCGCCTACAATATGAAAGGTTACTGTTCACTGATCAGTTTTATAGGTTACATTTTAAACAGTGATTACTGCAGTAATGTAGCCCACTAAGTGTTTCACAGCGTTAAAGACAGACATAGATTTGATTCTGGGCTGAGGATAAATCCACAATGTGCGGAGATCTGTCCTCACATCGATGACAGATTGATCATAAAGCGTCATGTTCAAGATCATGTTTGGGTGAAAAACTAAGAGCCTGTCTAGCCAGGATTTTAAAGTTTTTAAATATGTAAATGCGTTCAGACATGTGCTTTGATATCAACAGCATGAATGAGGAAATGAAACGGTGTGTCAGACAGGAGGGGAGGAGTCAGAGAGAAACTGACGGTTTTCCAACTTATCCTGTGAACCTGACCTCCTCCCGAGCAGGTCAGGTTCACAGCATCAGTTACCGGAGTTACTGATCTTGAGTTTATCTGATCTCGCTCTCTGAAACGGAAAACTCAGAGTTTCCCTCATCTCGGGCTCAACATACTCAGGAATCGCGATTTCTGAAACGGGGCCCAGGACAGCTCAGATCCAAACACAGGAGCTGAACGTGCTTAAAGAGAGACTGGATCCTACACCTGGTTCAGGTGATGGACTGGTTCTGGACTCACCTGGACTATCTCGTTGCTCCACACGCTGGTGTCCAGTTTCAGACTCTGAACCTTGGAGACCATCGTCCCCAGACCTCTGTGCTGCCCTGCACACACACAGCACAGCCACCATCCCGTCATCTTACCGATATTATGAACTCCAGGTAATTCTGACATCACTTCTGATAAGTGCGTGTCAGCACACGCCGCCCAGATAACAGAAGGATGATGACAGCAGGATGACACACACGCTCCCCACAATGCGGTCGAACCAGCACAGTGACAGTTTCACCTGCAGTGATTCGTGTCTCCACAGGTGTTCACAGGTAAACACGCTCAGTAAGCCTGATGAGGCGGCTTCAGATTAAAAAACCTTCCTGCTTCAGCTTCAGCATGTGTTCCTGTTTGTGCTGGTCTGGACCGCAGACCGGGAGCCAGACCTGATCACCAACACATGTGGACTCATTTGGACATAAAAAGACAAACGCAGCCTGTAAAACATTTATCTAAAACTTTCTACCGTTTAATATGAAGAATCCTGTAAATGTTTTCACTCTGTCGTTCCATCAAAAACTAAAAACACTGACTACTACTACGCTAACAATCCCACAATGCAATGCAACCCTGGAGCTGGTCCCTGTGGTTTTGCTCGCTCTCTCTCTCTCTCTCAGTTTAGTTCACCTTTACTGGCATGAATGTCAAACAACAATTCTGCCAAAGCTTTAAATATAATGCAAAAGAACAATTTATTTAATTATAAAAGTAAATAAATCAGTAAAAGTTTGTGTGTGTTAAAATAAATAAATAAAAATAACAACAGTAAGCCCGCGTGAGTGCCATAGGTCAGCAGTATGTAGAAGTAATTTTATGTTTAGGATCAATAAAGAAAAAACAACTAAAAAATCAGTATCAGAGGGAAAAAAATAAAAACCAAGTATCAAATGCAAATTGTAAAAAACAAACCAAAATGAGTTCAATTTTCAAAAGAACAATTACTAAAATAACAAACAATGAAAATAATAACAATTTGGAAATTTTAAAGCACAATTTTTTAATGTATTTATCAGTCTAGTTCCCGCTAGTTGTCCTCAGTTCGAGGAGACAGATTTTGCTGCAGTGATTTGGCATTCGGACGCTGAATGGAGCTCTGCTGTTCATATCTACATAGATAGTGACCTTGCTAATTGATGACACCCGTCCGTCGCTCTGTAGGGCGTCTGTCACAGTAAGAACATCGTCAGTTGGTTAATTTGCCTAATCTTTGCAGGTCCTCAGATCGCGGTGGAAACACACACAACAAAGGTCTGAAGGACCTTTTAGTCCCTTTAAAAGTAGATCTTGACTTTGGTCTGGACCTGCTCTATATAACCAGCGCAATGAGGGAACTCTAAAGCGCTTTATACAAATCAAACTGAACTGAACGGAGCTTGTGGGATCTTCCCAGTAGTTACTGGTTCTAACAGGATTTGTTTTTCCCACCAGCATCAGATAAACAAAGTTGAATTAGTCTTGGTCTAAACCAGGTCCGTTACCTGCACAGTTCTTGCAGATGACCACACAGAGGTTGATGGAGGCCCAGTCGGGGTTCAGGGCCTTGCAGTCGGCACACATCCTGTTGGACCGGTTGGACCAGATCTTCTCGGCCACCTCGTAGTCTGACAGAGTCTCCGCAATCGACTCCTGCAGCGCCTCCATCCAGTCTCGCTTCTCGCGGTCCGAATCCGCCGTAAAGCTGAGGAGGCGGAGCACAGGTCGCGGTGAGGTCGACACGGCAGCGACATTTTAAAGACAGACCCCCCCCCCATAAGGAGCTGGTTTCAGGGACCAGAAGGCTCAGTCAGGCAGAGAGACGGACGTTTGCTTCCCACATTCACAGCTGAGAACTAAAAATCTGTATCTCTGTTGTTAGCTGAACCCTCTTCTACTGAAACTTTCTGGCACTACGTCCTGTTTCCACTCAGTTTCAGATCAACGGGAGGAAACCAAAAAACCCGACCATCAGAACGTGAATCAATAAATCGAGTTCCACTTGCTGTACATTTGGATCAGTACAAGTGATGCAGTCATACCTGAAGGTTTTGTACGGCGTGATGAGGTCAAAGCTCTTGTGTTTTCCGTCTCTGATCGTCGCTCCTCGAGCTTCGATCAACGTGATGCCGATCCCGTTACGAAAACACTGCAGACACAGAAGTTAGAGATATATTCAGCAACCTGCTGCATGCGGCTGCTGCACGCCTATCTGTACCGTCACCTGTCAGTATTCTCACCTGTTCACTCTTGTAGAGCCAGATCTGCTCCGTGTGGATGGCGGCGTACACTTTGGACTTGGTCCCTTTCAGCTCCAGCACGCCATGTTTCTGACAGTGTGATCCGGGGCCGAAGCGCTGCCGACCGAACACCAGCTGATCTCTGACATGTTCCTGCAGCGTGCAGACCCATCGCCGCCTCAGCACTGAAACACAGAAACACAAATCATCATCATCATCATCATCATCATCATCATCATCATCTTCATCCTTGTCTCTGTCTCCGTCCCTCTGTCCTCTCTTCTTCTTCTGTTATTTCCTGTCTCCTACATTATCAGGCCTGTAAAGACCTGGATCAGAGCCGTCTGAATCCAGCAGGTTAGCTGGTCGCTCTTTGGTCCGTCCCTGCTGGATCACATGACCCGCTGAGCTTTACAGCAGTGCTCAGAGTCCTCCACTACTTTGTGTGTTTCTTCCTGTCTCTGAGGGTAAAAGTCGGACGACGCACGAATTACAGTATTCAAGTATTCTTTTGTGAAACTTTTTGGAGAATGTTTCTGTAAGAGCATTCTATCAGATTTAACAAGAACAAATTGGTGCAACAGAATAAATTAAACAGAGTGGGGCTATGTGTTGACTTAAAGTGTGTGTTTAGTTGTTTCACCTTCATTATCAGTCCTGAACACAAAGATCCTCTGAGTCGTCACAATTTCAAATTTATTGTCTTTTGCTGGGCGGGCCATCTGGATGGCAGCCAGTGGGATCACTCCTTTAGGGTAGACGTCCTGAAACAGGTGAGAAAAACAATTTAATTACAGGTTGTGTCCCAGCAAACCAATATATTTAGAGATGGAGCCAAATGAGCGGCAGTAAAACAGTGGATACATTTTTATGAGCACAAAGTAACTCATTCCTTCAGAGTTTGATCCATTCGGTCAATAACATTTTACTATTAGATAGATCCTATTGCAGAGACTGGAACATTTCATTGGCATTAAAGGAACCGCTCTAAGCTGGTTTAAGTCCTATTTATCAGATCGATTTCAGTTTGTACATGTTAACGATGAGTCCTCCATGCACGCCAAAGTTAGTCATGGAGTTCCACAAGGATCTGTCCTCGGACCAATCCTCTTCACTTTATATATGCTTCCTTTAGGCAACATTATCAGGAAACATTCCATAAACTTTCATTGTTATGCAGATGATACTCGGTTATATCTATCGATCAAACCAGATGAAACTCATCAGTTAGCTAAACTTCAAATGTGCCTTCAGGATGTTAAAACCTGGATGACCTGTAATTTTCTAATTTTAAACTCAGATAAAACTGAAGTTATTGTTCTGGGGCCTAAGCACCTCCGTGACGCATTATCTAAAGATATAGTTTCCCTGGATGGCATCGCCCTGGCCTCCAGCACCACCGTGAGGAATTTTGGAGTTATCTTTGATCAGGACATGTCGTTTAAGTCTCACATTAAGCAAATTTCAAGGACTGCCTTTTTTCACCTACGTAATATTGCGAAAATCAGGAACATCCTGTCTAAAAATGATGCAGAAAAACTAATCCGTGCATTTGTTACTTCTAGGCTGGATTACTGCAATTCCTTATTATCAGGCTGCTCGAAAAAGTCCATTAAGACTCTTCAGCTGATCCAGAATGCTGCAGCACGTGTTCTGACAGGAACCAGGAAAAGAGATCACATTTCTCCTGTTTTAGCTTCTCTGCATTGGCTTCCAGTAAAATCCAGAATAGAATTTAAAATCATTCTTCTTACCTACAAAGCTCTTAATGGTCAGGCACCATCTTATCTTAAAGAGCTCATAGTACCTTACTACCCCACCAGAGCACTGCGCTCCCAGAATGCAGGGTTACTTGTGGTTCCTAGAGTCTCCAAAAGTAGACTAGGAGCCAGAGCGTTCAGCTATCAAGCTCCTCTCCTGTGGAACCAGGTTCCAGTTTGGGTTCAGGAGGCAGACACCATCTCCACATTTAAGAGTAGGCTTAAGACTTTCCTCTTTGATAAAGCTTATAGTTAGGGCTGGCTCAGGTGAGTCCTGAACCATCCCTTAGTTATGCTGCTATAGGCCTAGACTGCCGGGGGATTTCCCATGATGCACTGAGCTCCTCTCTCCTCTACTTTCTCTCCCTCTGTATGCAACCTCATCCCATTATTGCATGTTACTAACACAACTTCTCCCCTTTCTGGTAGTCTTGTGCTTTCTCGTCCCTCTCCTCTCTCCTCCTATCACTTCCTGCAGGTTTTCTGGCTCTGGAGCTGTGGAGTCTGGATCTGTGGTTGCGGGTCACCTGCTGCCCCCGTGTTCCTGCTCGACACCCTCTGCTACAACAACTATTGTTACTAGTCCTATTGTTATTATTGTTATTATAATCATTAACATTACGACTGTTACCATTAACACTACTGTAAATATCCTTACCATTATTAATTCAGTCTATAGCAACATCACCTTTACTGTCTGTACCTCTGTATGTATATTGTGTAGGCTGCCTCCCTCTCTCTCCTTACATCCCTCTCTTTTTCTCTCTGTTCCTCTCCTGCTCTATCTCTCTCTCCCCTGAACCAGAAGATCCGTCTCCATCAGGACAGTTATAATAAGATTCACTTCTTCTTTATGTTAGGCACCATTTTGCCGGCATCACATGTAGGCAAAATGTTCAGTGGTAAATATCCCAAACAAATAACTTCATGTTCTTTGTACCTTCTCGCTGCCGAAGTACATCAGGTTTTTGCCGTCAAACTTCACGTAGCGCTTCTGGAAAACATAGTTCCTGAAAAATATAAAACACAAATCAGACCTGGAGACAGTCACATGATCCCTTTTACAACACAACACGCAAGTGTGTTCAAAACTCCCACAAAATAACAAGTAATTTAGAGTCATCAGACCTGAACTCAGGCAGAAACACTGCAGCAGTTCCATGAGCGTCAGCAGAAAACACTCATCGGTTGATAATCTGTGTCTGAACTGATCTTAATTTACCAAAGAACTTTATAGTTTTAAAGAGCAGTAGGAGGAGGAAAGAAGGAACAGACAAACACACCGAGTGGAGGAGGAGGAGAAGCAGGAAGAGGAGGAGGAGAGGAAGGTGATGAGGCAGAAACAGCTCCTCAGGAGGGAGGAGACACAGGGAGGAGCTGAGAGGAGGAGACGCAGCAGAACAGCCAGCGCTGACCTCTGACCCCTGAGAAACACACACACATATACACAGGAAGCTGTGTCACTGACTTTCTGATTCGACCACTGTGACTGGCCAGGTGAAAATGTGGGAGGAGCTCCAAGATCTTCGTTGACACTCCTCAAGCAGCTATTTAAATCAAACGCACCCCAGTTGTTTTGTTCTTCCTGGTCTAACCAGATGTGTAAATTAAACGCACCCTGTACTTTTGTTCTTCCTGGACTAACTAGCTGTTTAAATCAAACGCACCCCTGTGGTTTTGTTCTTCCTGGTTTAACCACATTTGTAAATCAAACGCACCCCTGTGGAGACAGCTTGTCCAGCCAGCCGCTGATGATGGGCGGGGCTCTCTCGGTCAGTGAGGTGTAGCTGGCGTAGGGGGAGATGGTCAGGTCCTCGTCGGTCTCTGGGGGGAAGGCGTGGGGGGGCAGGGAGAGGTAGCGGATGGGGGGTGAAGGTTCTCCGACGGTGCTGTAACCCTGAGAGTCTCCGGAGTGAAGAGCCTGAGACAAACGCTTCGTCCAGGAGAACTTCTGGAAGCTGAAGGTACAAACACAGGAAGAGATGAAGCTCTCACGTCCTCTGAACACGTTTACACAGCTGCAACACATCAAACAAACTGCAGTTTGTGAAGTCCATCTAAAGTAGGGATGCACTGACCCAACTTTTTCAGTGCTGATGCTAATACCTGGGCTCATACAGCTTATTGATTGAGTCCCGATCAATGAGCTGTATGAGATTTATCTTTTCTGTGTAAGGTCACATCCAGCTGGGTTTAAACATCGCTTCCTGACTTTGTAAAACAAAATGCTAAGTTAGCTCTCCTAGCACAATGTTCGTGTCTACTGGCGAACTGCTGATGCATCGCGTAGTACGTGCGAATTGAAAATAAATCGGGCCCATTGTCATCAACACCCAATCCAACTATTTGAGTCAGTATTGGGCTGATATCAGTATTGGATCAATGCATCCCTAATCTAAAGAAAAGATCTACAAAATAAAAGTGTGCCGAGCATAAAACCCTGCAGGTCTCCAAAGGTCAGACAATATGCAGATGATATGTATGATACAGATGATAAGTCATGAAAAGGGCTGACCCCGAATAGTCGAAGATTTGATGCTTCGATGGGCGGAGCCTGATTCAACAGTCAATCTCACAGTTGAAGTTTCACAGCGAAACAAGGATCACGCCATTTTGGCGATATGGGGGTGTTCAAAGTCTGATTTTACATAGAACTACCAGTTTTCTCCCAATAAGTTAATATACAGCCTGCTGCAATATACATTTCAACGTTTAATGCTGTAAATAAACATGTAAAAAGAATAAAACTTTCAATAGTGTGTGTGCGGTGGAAGAAGTGGAACACTTGCTGAAGAGACGTAGGGTGGTGATGGCGACAGGGGTGGTGATGGCGCAATGGATAAGACTAGTTGCACCAGAGGCGTGCGACCTCTGACATGTACAGCAATTGTAAGTCGCTTTGGATAAAAGCATCAGCTAAAGTAAAGAAAATGTAGCTCCATCTTTATTGGTGTTGTGCCGAGTCGTCCGTACCTCGTGGGCCTTTCGGACAATTTATCACCGTTGATGAACCACACAAAGAATATTTTATCGTTTTTAAATAGCCGGCTACTTGAAATAGACCCACGAGGAACCGCAGCTGCGTGCATGCCGTGCTGCTGACAGCTGCATGCACGCAGCTGCGGTTCCTCTGACCAGTGAATGGCAGGCGAGAGAGAGAGAAAATGGTCAACAATAAGCCTCAGTTTAGCTTCGGCTGGCAGTCGCCACGCATAAAAACACACATGATGCGACAATCAGTCCACTACAGGCAGGACTTGATGATTCTGAATCGACTATGTAAATCCTTAGTCGGGGACAGCACTACTATCTGCTGTATATATTTACAGTATCAATTTTATATATGTACATGCAGGGTGCGATTTGTGTAAAAAACAGGGGGGGGGGGGGTGACTGTGGATTTATAGCGAAATTTTAATTTAATAATTTAATTTTATACTGCGATGCAGAGCTGCAGTGAAAACGCAGAAAAGACAGATGCATGCTGTGTTTCTCTCGGGTGCAGTGACTGGGTAAGGGGAAAAAGACTGATTTAAAAGCCATCACTTTCAGTGTTATTAAGTGAAAAGAGTGTTTATTGCAGCTTCAGTGATATCGACTGCCTTCCCTGTGACCGGGGCAAATGTCTTGTGAGTTTTGATAGGCTATTTTTCGCAACTTGTAACCAATCATTAAGCGAGTCCAGCCTGGTGATTACCTACAGACAGAGAGGCAGCTGGATCAGAGCCAAAGTAGCGCATTTTAAAATTACAAAACTACAGATCGATCCGAACCGTGTGTTTTGTGAAAAGTTGCATCACTATTGAAGTAGATCGCTCTGAGGGGGGGATAAGTTTTGTCCCTACCGGGGATGAAAATTGTTCAGCAGAGGTAGGGATATTTAGACCAGAAGGGGGGAAATCCCCCCCCCAGCAAATCACACCCTCTATGTATTTATAATTTAGTAATTCAAACGCTTTACGTGTTTATTTTCTCTTAATGCATTTTCTTTGGATTTCTTTTTATAAATGTTTGACCGTCTTCTCTTTCTTTTCTCTGATGTCATCTGTAACCTTTTTGTTTGTGAATGTCACGTTATTATTAGGCTGATAGCAGGAGGAAGCTCCGGGCTTCGGTTTGCATCCAGAAACTGCTCCCGCCACATGTTTGCTGTCAAAGCGTTCACCACCGGTGCAAACTCTCAGCAAACGCAAGAAAAACACATTTTTGTGTGGAGGGGATGTTTAAACATGTGCTCACACAAAGCTAAGATAAAAGAGTTGCTGGTGTCTTACCCATGATCCTCTGCGTGTTTCTCCTCCCCTCTCCTCGTCTCTCGTTCCTCCAGTCTGTTTCTATCACTCTGCAGGAGAGAATATGAAACGTTTCTATTATCACAGACCGGAGATGTTACTCCTGGATTACACATTAAACCACCTCCGGCAGATTGTGAGTGTTTAGAAGCTGATCTTTCTCCAGCCGGTGTCTTTTTATTAAGATTTCTGTGATGAGGAAAAGAAAAAAGAAAAAGGAGGAAGAAGAGAAGAAGAAAAGCATTTTTACAAGGCCCCCCAGTTTTGCCTTTGTGCTGCCGTCTCACCTCAAACGTGTGCAGATTTCTTCTGGTCTGGAAAACAGTTTCACAGTACGGGCTGATCTCCTCCTCGGGGTCTTCTGTCGAAGCTGGAGAACAGAAAAACACAACAATCAGGATCCAGATTTAAATTCAGGGCAGATTTCTTACTGGGCACACACATTATGTTTCAGAGTGATGGCTGGACTCACCTCTGGCTGATCCTGAGGAGTTGTTACTTAAAGTGCTGCCACTGAAAACAAACAGAGAACAAATCCACTTTCAGTAGATAAAGACACACTCCAGTGACTCAGTGGCATTAAACAGGTTGGACAGATTAAAGACACAATGGATGTCCTGACTTTTAGTCCTTAGCATGGGTCAAGCTCCCATTTTGCCGGCATCACATGTAGGCAAAATGTTCAGTGGTAAATATCCCAAACAAATAACTTCATTAATATGAAATAGCCTAATATTGCATGACCTATAAGATATGAATAATTGAACGTTATCATGAACAGTGATATGCATCCACTTCATGCCTTAGAGGTTCTTTCGCAGAGCACTTTCAGAGACTGAACAGCATCATAAGTCGTTTTTCTGCCTGCAGCCGTCAGGCTCTTTAATGTGAAATACTGTCTTGTATTTTATTGTTGTATTCTTGGATATTTTGAAATGTATTTAAATGGCCTAGAAGCACTGTTTTGGCTGTTTTTTTTTATCATTTATTTATTTTTAAGTATAGTCTATTTTAACTCACTGTTAAACTTCAATTAACAGTCTTTTATTTGCTTAACATTTACATGATGCTTTTCTCCAAAGCAACTTACAATTGCTATATATGTCACACGCCTCTGGGGTTAAGTGTCTTGCTTAGGGTTACAGCGGGCGATTGAACCCGGGTCTCTCACACAAAAGGCAGGCGTCTTATCCACTGCACCATCACCACCCCTTAAATCACTGAAGTCACCCTGCCTTTCTTTGGGACAGGCCTTTATTTCTTTACCATGCTGGTAAATCTGAATCTGAATCAGAATCTAACTGATCCAATAATGTCCACTGACAAAAGTTTAAACATTTATACTTTTATGCCGGATCTAAGCAACTTAAAAGTAGCTCAAGCAGGAGACCTGGTCGGCTTTAAGAAGTTTTTTCACAGATGGTGCATGAGGGATGCATGCAGTACATAAATATATACCTGGATAGGTCTGTAGGTAAGAAGGTAAGTAAGGTTCGAAAGGTTTGGACACAAGCACCTCTACAAAACAAGGGAAACAGACCTCCTTGCGTGGACCCTTAGCTGCAAACAAGTCCTCCAGAGTGACCTACCTGTTCCTCTCAGGGTTCCTGTCAGGTGTTTGTCTGGGTGGAGTGGGAGGAGCTGACTGCTGGCTGCAGTAACTCCTCCCCCCAATGGGGACAGTAGAACCAGGTAAAGTGCCCCAGTAGATCTCATTAGAGACCATTTCCATCCCACCGCCACCTGGTGAACCGGACGGTGAGAATCCAGGGAGCCTGCTGTTGTCAAGACCCCCAGGAATAGAAGTCAGCTCTGTCCGCACAGGTGAGGAAGAAGAAGAAGAGGGCGGGGACCCCTGGAACATGGCGGGAGGGACCCCACGGTTCAGCCTCGGGGGAACAGGAGGCAAAACCCCTCCAGCGTCTGACAGAGACAGGCTACGACTGGGCCGCCTCCTCTCCGTCTGGCTCGCTCTTCGGCTGGGTGTGGTCGACTTGTCGTTGGGGTCAGAGGTCAACCTGTAATCAGGTGTGGGCGTGTCCCCTGAGGTCAAACCCTCTAACACAGTAAAACAGATGGACTCCTGGGAAAGCCTCCTGGGTAGGGGCGGTGCAGGGTCTGGGGTTGGACAGAAGTGGATGGGTGCTGTCCTGCGGCGATTGAAGACAGTTCTGGGTTTGGGAACCGGCTTCACTACGGGTCTGCTGCTGTCAGAGTTGGTCAGCATGGCGGCGAGGTCCGGAGCCGAGCTGTTCCTTGACGCCTCAAAGTTAACGGGTCCCGACTGTCGGGGCAACGCAGCGCCGTGACCTCGCTTTGACGAAGAAATGTCTGTCACAGACTGACAACGGCCACGTGGGGGATCAGCTTTCTGATTGGCTCTTTGACCCTCTATCCTCTGAATGTGACTGACCAATCGTAGGATTCTCTTCCTATGTCCTGTGGCGGTTATACCCAGGCTGACCAAGGCGTCATGATCCAGGTGTGTGAAGTCTCTGGCCAATAGTAGGCCAGCTTGACGGAAGCTGTCCAGGTACCTGCAGCGAAAACAACTGAATTAAACTTAAACAATTCAGCAAGTTGGACGTTACAGCTAGCTAGTTAGCTAGCTAGCACTAGCATGCAATGGTATGCATGTGTTACTTAATGGTGACTGACAGTCAGCTCCATGCTAACACTTTAGCATACAATTTTACTTACATTAAATTTATTTAACCAATGTTTTTGTCCAAACCAACTTACATTCAAACCATGTAGGAGCTTGATTTCATCCCTTTCAAACAAACAACTAAAAGCATGTACAGCATTACAGTACAACGCTTTGAGGGGTCTTTTTAAAGAAATGAGACTTTGTAAGTGCTAGCAAGAGTTGTTGTAGCTGTGTGTATGCTAAATGTTGACTAACACACTGTAGCACACAGTCACCTCTGCCAACAGGCTAAATGTGTATGCTAAAGTGGTAGCATTAGTTTTTGGTGGTTCCTGTTAACTCCAACCAGACTGTTGTAATGCTCAGTCCTGAGTTTCCATCACAGATCTGCTTTGTGTCGAGTCTGTGTTGTGCCCCAGCCTCTGACCTCTCCAGGTGTATCGCTATCAGAAGCGTCTCAACCGGCGTGCTTCCATCCAGCGAGGCCATGACAACCAACATGGAGTCCGGATCTGACGTCGTCTCCTCCACATTCAGGAAACACCGCGGCCATCACAGCCCTACAGCAGGCGCCGACTACAGCTGTCCATCTGGAGGAGACAAGAACAAAACACTAGACTGTTACCACCTCCTGCTGCACTTTAAGTGTCGCCGAAACCAAACAGTGGTGTTGTCACGCACATCACCAGGAACCTGGAACTCACTAAACGGGATGCAGCTATAAGTAATGTTATTACATTAAAGAGGCACCTTTACATGTCTTATCCATCCATCCACCACCCGGCGCCTTAAACCTGCGTCCTCTCTAGCGGCCAGCAGGGGGCGCCTTAAACCTGCGTCCTCTCTAGCAGCCAGCAGGGGGCGCCTTAAACCTGCGTCCTCTCTAGCGGCCAGCAGGGGGCGCCTTAAACCTGCGTCCTCTCCAGCAGCCAGCAGGGGGCGACTTAAACCTGCGTCCTCTCTAGCAGCCAGCAGGGGGCGCCTTAAACCTGCGTCCTCTCTAGCAGCCAGCAGGGGGCGCCTTAAACCTGCGTCCTCTCTAGCGGCCAGCAGGGGGCGCCTTAAACCTGCATCCTCTCTAGCAGCCAGTAGGGGGCGCCTTAAACCTGCGTCCTCTCTAGCAGCCAGCAGGGGGCGACTTAAACCTGCGTCCTCTCTAGCAGCCAGCAGGGGGCGACTTAAACCTGCGTCCTCTCTAGCGGCCAGCAGGGGGCGACTTAAACCTGCGTCCTCTCTAGCAGCCAGTAGGGGGCGACTTAAACCTGCGTCCTCTCTAGCAGCCAGCAGGGGGCGACTTAAACCTGCGTCCTCTCTAGCAGCCAGTAGGGGGCGCCTTAAACCTGCGTCCTCTCTAGCAGCCAGCAGGGGGCGCCTTAAACCTGCGTCCTCTCTAGCAGCCAGCAGGGGGCGACTTAAACCTGCGTCCTCTCCAGCAGCCAGTAGGGGGCGCCTTAAACCTGCGTCCTCTCTAGCAGCCAGCAGGGGGCGCCTTAAACCTGCGTCCTCTCTAGCAGCCAGCAGGGGGCGACTTAAACCTGCGTCCTCTCTACCAGCCAGCAGTGGGCGCCTTAAACCTGCGTCCTCTCTAGCAGCCAGCAGGGGGCGCCTTAAACCTGCGTCCTCTCTACCAGCCAGCAGTGGGCGCCTTAAACCTGCGTCCTCTCTAGCAGCCAGCAGGGGGCGACTCCAGCGGCTGCAGAAAGAAGTGTGATTGTATAGAAGTCTGTGAGAAAATGTTTCTACTTGTCAGCTGATTTATTCCCTCAGTAAACACTTTCCTGATGAGTTTATGGTCTCAGTCGCTAGTTTCAAGTCTTTAGGGCGGAGCTGCAAGCTGATTGACAAGTTGCTACCATGGCGACCTGTCAATCAGGATAGAGGCGACTCGTATCTGCTGCTCTGTGCACATTTAACCAGCAACGTAAAAATTAGCCCAAAATTAGCATCCCAGCTAATATCACACTTAATGTGAATTACAGATGCACCTTGCTAACCACGCTAGCTAGCTCCTCCCTCTCGTCCAAATATGGTTACGTCTGGTTGCAAAAAAACAAGATGGCGACGGGCAAAATGCCAAACTGGAGGCTTCTAAATGGCGGTCCACAACCCAACGGGGGACGTCACGGCGGCTACGTCCACTTTTTTTTTTACAGGCTCTGCTCAAATACATAATGAGAGAAAAAATAATAAAAACAGATATAAGTAGCTCAAATTAACTTAAACTTGTCTAGTATTGAAACCAACTATAGAGCTTTCCTATCTTTAACAAGTTTCAGCGACTTATTCAAGAGTTAAACTTCCAGTGGTTCCCTATTAGGTCTAGCCTTAAAGTACCTACACTTATGAAGAACCTCCCCAGCAGCACCACTGTGACGGAGTACGTTGACTGCCATCAACAAGCGTGGCTATTGTTTGTTTGTTTGTTACCCTGTAGGCCCGAGTTCAAATCCAGGTGGGGTGACAGCTGTCTCCCTATGTTAAAACTGAACAGTTGAGAACAAACTCCAAGTCCTTGTTTCAGACAAACAAACCAAACTTCACTGTCTTCACTGTCAAGGCTGACGACACCATCTCCTTGGACTGATGTCTGCTCCATGTATCACATCAGAAAAAACAAACGCCTTCACTTTCCCTTTCACACTTATTTACATCAAAATTAAATCTCAGTCTCAAACGTTTGTTTGTTGGGGAGATCTCATTTAAGATTATGAAGTATACCTCTTTTACCTTTGGAGGACATGAAATAAAATGTTCTTCACCTCTTATTTGTATTGAGGAATTATCCGCTTGAAGGAATTCTTACAAACATACTTGGATAAAAAAAAAAAAGGGGAGCAACAATACAAACCAGCCACAAACACCGCCCCGCCACAGGACTTCCTGTAATGTAATATAGTTGAGGCATCCAATCAAGATGAACTCAAGAAGAGGATGCCAGATCTAATTAAAAACTTCCGTTCTGTTTGATAAGACAAATCTTATTTCCAGATGCAGCATTAACCATTTCTTCCAACCACATTTTAGCAGAAGGCGTCTCAGTTTTCTTCCAGAGCTGTAAAATACGTTTCTTTGATAGCAGCTTTTGTTGACATGTTGATAATGAATAACACCACCAAGAGTGGGTCCAGTTCCATATCTGATCATACCTTTGTATTTATCACACGGGGGGGGGGGATATCTGAAAAAATTCTGTGCAATTTTGTTTTTGCAAGGTGAAGTCTGTGATTACCTTGAACTGAACCAGCTTCGGAACTTAGACTGGATCAAGAGTTTCAGAGTGGCGAGTTATTATTCTGTAACACATTTATCTTTTATAAAGTTTTAACTGAGCCGCTAGGCGGCATTATGCTGCGTGTTACAGAGTGACACAGTAAGGTTACGGAAGTAAAGGCTGGACTAAAATCCAGCTGTGTTCAGTTCAGGAGCAGAGTTTTCTGTGGGAGATGAGAACTCACTTTGGGCTTTTTCACTTTACAAACCTGTTACAGCACAAAAAAGGTTTATAACTCAATAAAGGAGAGGGGAAAAAGCCAAAAAGCAGAATACCACCTCTTTAAGCGTTCGCGTAACTGGCTGTCCCAAGTACGTCCTGCACTGTCCTTAGTCGAACAGGTGACCACAGAGAAGGCGGACACGCTAACGAGGAGGCTAAAACCCATGGGCACAAGCGTCGGTGGACAGTGCGTCTTGTAAGGGGAGTAAGTTTTACTCACTGCACAGCTTCCGTTACACTCGTATGAAAGTGTTTCTGTTAAAAGCTGAACCTTTAACCACTAAAATGACGGAATCAAACCACAGCAGACTCTAAAGCAGGAGAACGACTGGACGGCTCACGGGGATCGTAGTTCTGAGAGCTGTCAGCTGCACAGAGAATAATCCAGAACCATCCTGTGTTTCTGTGATGGTGAAACCACTTTGTCTGCCATAGTTAGTTTTTTATATATTTATTTATAAATAAATTGCACATCTTTTAACGTAAAGTGTTTTTTTAACAGTCTTTGGTTTAATGTGCCTTCATAAAAATGAATCCAAACAGAGAGGAAATCATGAAGAGTGCTGATGCGTTTCTCAACCTAACCTGGTGAGTTAGAGTGACCAACACACTCACACCAGGAGGCTGGAAACTCTTGAGAAGCGGGCAGTTTTTACTGCACTGAGGTCTGTGACCTTTGACCCCCGGAGGGCATGACCCCCCTCCCAGCAAAAGTAAAACCGCAGAACAAAACATGATGTCAGCGGGCGGACACAGCCCCGGGATTGTTTCTCAGCGTCTGCAGCAGGCTGACCTTTGACCTCTGTACAGACAGCGCTGTCGGAGGGGGGGGGGGGTCTGACAGAGACTCTCGGTTTGGAAATACCGCCGGCCATTTAATGAAGGAGGAGCTGACCGCAACACACATGCGTGCACGAGTGTGCAGCGTCACGTCGGGATCAATTTGGGAAAAGTTGGAGCAAACAGGACTCTGAGCATCTCCACAAAGATCATAAACTGATCATACCGACGCTTTCCTTCAGTCCTGCCCGTGTCAGTGAATCGTTACTCAAACTATGAGGCGCCTTCTTTATGAGGACCGGACGCCTCGCTGGCTCACGGACCTGGTATTTCCTGCATTATAACTGCAGGATGATCAGTGCTTTGAGTTCGAGGCCTCAAAGTCTCTTTGCCGTTTCAGATGTGGTGTTGCTGAACAGTTTCAAAGTGGAGAAATATCTGACGTGCATTCAGGATTTATGATGACTCGTGGATTTGTAGAATTTAGGTTGGCCTCGAAAAAGAACACATATAATAAACTGCATTTTATTAGACTTGTGGAGCTGTCAGCTCACTGCAGAACAGAAACACGCTACAAGACGTGTTAAACAAATGTCACTTAAACAGCATTTCACTGGAACTGATTAATAGACTCCAAAAAAAAGCTCTGTGTTTATCACCTTATCTTAGGTTGATGTTTAATTCAAGCGTCTTTTGAAGAGAATATTACTTGTTAATACTGTAAAACTTCATTTAACAGCTGCAGCTTTTATTTGTCTCAATCCCTTCTTATATTTACCATGCCGGTATTTCTAAATGAATTATACTTTGGTGCTCATTGTGTTGGGAACTGAACGACTTAGAGAATCTAACTGACCTAACGATGTGTAGCATGTCCAGGTTTAACCATTTGTTTTTGTTTGATCTATACAGCTGAGCTCAGACAGGCAACCTGGTGGGATTTAAGGGGTTTTATACAAATACAAGAGAACTTCTATATAAACCAGAGAAGGCTTCTTATTGAGACCTGCATTTATTTGTCAAAACGTGTAGGAGGAGAGTAAAAGGGACAGGCGTCTGACTTATGCATGAATTTTACATTACAAAATTCTTTGTACCCAGAAACTAGGAAAGGAGGAGTTCCTAGTTCAGTTTCCCTCTCAGGCAGCACAACATGTTGCCTGAGAGGCAAAACCCAGGGCAGAATCCCTCTCTCTCCTCACTCAGGTTACTGTGAGGTCACAGTGTGAGGGCCGCTCAGGTGAGTGTATTAACATATTGATCACATGACACTGATTTTAGTGTACACACACACACACACACACACACACACACACA